GCAGGGTCTCAGGAGGGGGAGATGTGTGGCCCTGATGTCTCGGAAGCAGGGTCTCAGGAGGGGGAGATGTGTGGCCCTGATGTCTCGGAAGCAGGGTCTCAGGAGGGGGAGATGTGTGGCCCTGATGTCTCGGAAGCAGGGTCTCAGGAGGGGGAGATGTGTGGCCCTGATGTCTCGGACAGAGGGTCTCAGGAGGGGGAGATGTGTGGCCCTGATGTCTCGGACGGAGGGTCTCGGGAGGGTGAGATGTGCGGTCCTGATGTCTCGGACGGAGGGTCTCCGGAGGGTGAGATGTGCGGTCCTGATGTCTCGGACAGAGGGTCTCAGGAGGGGGAGATGTGTGGCCCTGATGTCTCGGACGGAGGGTCTCCGGAGGGGGAGATGTGCGGGCCAGTGAAAGCAATGTAAACAGGCGCCGTGTGGTTCCCAGGAAGAGCAAGCCCTAAGGCAGCCGTGCCAATTTGCACAATTAAAGCTCCTGTATCTGAGCATGTGTACCGGTACTTGCAGCAATACCGGTATCTGTGACCATTCTCAGAGTAGCTTCTCTTTCTGGGCTTCTGCTGGAATAGTTCAATGAAGATGTGATGTAAGACCAGACGTAACATCACGCCCCCTCCGGTGTGTTGGAAGTGGGCAAAGTTGTGGGTGATGTGCTGCAGGATCGGAGCCCGCCGTTGCCCACAGTGGAGCCAGGATGGGGTATGCGATATTTTATCCTCATCAAAGCTTTTTTTATTTCCACATTTTATGTATATTTTGCTCTTCCGGTGCGGACAGTTTTTTTATTGTAGCACCCCGGGGCTAGTTGCTCGGAGGAGATTTGAGTAGGAAAGGTAACATTTGTGTACGCATTGCTAGTAATGGTCCGGCTTTGTTACAATACGTTACGTTACCACTCTGCGATGGATAGATCTCCCCTGAGGCAGAATGCTGCAGGTCCCCTCCAGTGCCGGTCACATGAGATCTGTACTGGGGGGGGGGGGGGGGGGCTGGTGTGGGACTTTTTGGGGGAGTTGGCTGGTCTGAACCTTCACTTCAGCAGACATTGTCATGTAATAGTTGGACCTCTGTGTGTCGAGACTGAGGGGGGCTTGCTGCAGCGTTTTCCCCAGGATAGTCAGCATTTCTGACACCCGTAGTGATGTTCTCATACAAAGCTGTAATTTAGAATGTGATGATGTAATCTGTGGAGAACACGAGCTTCTCCGGAACGGATGGAATGTTTTGTATTGTGCTGCTCAGTTGGGTTATCGGATCTTGTGGGAGCGTCATCCCTTCATTCGGAGACCGGAGGCTAACCACAGAGACGCTGGTACTGGACCCGGTAGGTGAGAGTCGGCAGAGTTCTGGGGCCTCGCAGTCCCTTCCATGTTTGAGGTCAATGTGGAGGTCTCGCTCTGCCCCTTATTGGAAGGTCTGGGGAATTATGAAGCCTGGAGACGCAGTACATGCCTCTGATTGGAGGACATTGAGAATGATCTTCTTCCATCTCCTCTTACTCTTATTTACAGGTAACAAACTCTACAAAGCCATCTGTGGGCGCTGCCCGCCTGCCTGCATCCGGCGGCCACAAACCTGGCAGTGCCAATGTGAGTAATCGGGCAACCTCTCCCGTTTCCTGTCTTCACTGGTACTTCCTGTCCTAGACCTAATCACGCCCTCCGGGCTCTATTGTCAATCTACGGCAGAAGAACTCCTTCCCGGGGGTCACCACTTTAGGTTTATAATGACGGGCCGGCCACCCGATACTTGCCAAAAATTAAAGCACTTTCCTGTGTGCCCCAGAGCCTCTATATGTGAGATATTGGAAGTTCCCACCATCCCTGCTGTAGTTCCCCGGTTCTGTACACCCGCTGTGCCCATTATGAGGGGCTCCCACCATCCCTGTGCTGAGTTCCCGGGTCTGTGCACCCGCTGTGCCCATTATGAGGAGCCCCCACCATCCCTGTGCTGAGTTCCCGGGTCTGTGCACCCGCTCTGCCCATTATGAGGGGCCCCCACCATCCCTGTGCTGAGTTCCCGGGTCTGTACACCCGCTGTGCCCATTATGAGGAGCTCCCCCCCATCCCTCTGCCCATTTATCTTTGACACAGCCCCCGGGTGCACCATGCTCCATCTGTAAGTTGCATATCAGGAGGACTGACCCTTTAAGTGGACTTTCCATTCCTTTTTGTTTTCGGATTTATTTCCTCATGCACCATGTGGGTCGGGGAATATGTATCGCTGATTTGCTATTCTGATGTCCTAGCTGCAGGAGGGGGCCCCGTAACCTTCCCAGCACACCTCTACATTGCTGTCGTGTCCGCCACGGCTGCTAATCTAAAAATATAAAAAAAAAATGTAAATATATTCCCCTTAATGGCCACCAAAATGCCTGTGCAGGGAGCAGCTCTGTGGGAGGGACCTAGCAGGCTCCACCCACCCACCACAGGCTGTCTGCTGTAAAACTACAGGAGGGGGCGGAGACCAGACCAGTCTGAGGATGGTGCTACTCGTACCAGGTCATCCTAAAGTCTCCCAAGTCGGGGTTTTCCTGCCGTACAGTTACTGTCCTCCCATCTGAACCGATCGGTGGTGGGAGAGCTCCCCGCTCACCTAATACCGGCTTCTCTCCCTGCTCATAGGTGGATTATTCGCTGCTGACACTTCCGTTATCCTTTTTTTCCTTCTCAGGTTGCAGTCTCTCTCTCTCTCTATACACTGAATTAGTTCTGTCTGGGGGTGTGTGGATGTCTCTGGTGCGGGGGGGACTTTCTGTATAATGTGCACTCTCCTGGTCTGAGCTCGGCGGACGATTCTCATTCACAGCTTCATTCTTATCCTCCTTTCCAGGTACAGATTCTGAACAAAAGAATAGATGTGTCCAAGGTTCTGGCCAAGAGCGGATCGAAGGCCGGTACCAAGCAGAAGACTGGTAAATATCCATGTTGGGTCATTGTATATCGTGATGTGGGCACGCGTAGGGGCGGGGCTCAAAATGTCAAGTCCTGAGCTACTAGCCAGGCCTTAAAAGTTACTCGCCACCAGTTGCCCCACCTAACCCCAACCCTGCCTCGGCCTTAACTCCGCCAGGTCAGCGGTGTGGCGCAGAGTACAAAGATCAGCAACAACGCACAGTACAGAAGTCAGTGGTGCCCCGGTCAGCGGTGTAACTCGCAGTGCCCCGGTCAGCGGTGTAACGCGCAGTGCCGCGGTCAGCCGTGTAACGCGCAGTGCCGCGGTCAGCCGTGTAACGCGCTCGCGGCGAGTCCGTTGGCGCAACCAGGCCAAATCGAAAATCAACTATTCGATGATGGAAAACATTGACCACATTTTCCATCATCGATTTTTATAATCGACTTAGTCGATTAGTTGTTGCAGCTCTAATCGCAATCGAGCTGGCCAAACAACATGGAGCCGGCTTTTCCGGGCAATCGGGAAGCCGGGCAGCATGTCACCGCCAGTGAAAGCACTCTTATCGGTACTTGAAAAAAACAATATCTTTGCATCACTACTTACTATTACCCCAGCGAGTGCAGTCTCTTTACTCTCGTGGTTCTTTAAAGCCCCGGTTACACCTCTTGTGTCATTCTCCGTAGGTGGCGCGGACGGCAAATCTGAAGAGAATGCTAAGAAGCCATTGGTGACGAAGCGGAAGCCTCAGGACAGCACAAAAGTGAGCCGTGCACGCGCTGATCTTTGGAATGACAAGTTTCGGTTCTGGTGGAGACGTCGCAGAATAACGCGTTTTTTTTATTTGTACAGGAGAACGAGGCGGGACAAGTGGCACCTTCACAGAACGGGGACCTAGTGACGCCCACAGAATTCACAGCGGCTGACACGCGGGAGAATGGGGTGGAGGAGACGCTTCCCGTAGATGGTGGCAACCAAAGGGAAAGCCAGAGCTTCAACGCTCTCATACCGGAGACAAGTAAGAATCACGCTGAGCTCATGGGACAGATAGTGGTAGCAAATAGGGATGTCCCGATGCTTTAAGACCAGTCCCAGAGCAGGCGCCTCAGATGTCCCCCAGAGCAGGCGCCTCAGATGTCCCCCAGAGCATTTAAAGAATATAGACATTATGTGACCATGTACACGGTTATATACTGATCTGTGGCGCTGTTACCAAATTTAGGCAATACTATGACCTCTACGCTATGGCCAAAAGTCTATGGACCCACCACAAAATTATTCAGGTGGTGTTAGTACAGCATACAAAGACATTTTATACAACTGGGAACAGTTTCGTTCCACCATGACTGTCCCCTGTGTACAAACCCAGCTCCATAAAGACACGGGGTGGCAATCTTGGTGGAGGAACTCGAGTGTCCTGACCTCAACCCTACTGACCACCTTTGGGATGAACTGGAACGCAGATTGTGAGTCGGGTTTTCTCATCCAACATCAGTACCTGACTTCACCAGTGGGCGCAATTCCCCATAGACGCCCTCCACAATGTGGTGTGAAGCCTTCCCGGAGCTGTTATAGCCCCAAACAGAGGTGGCAACCCAACATTTTACTTCCATGGTTTTAGGATGGGTTGTCCAACAAACTCGTATAGGTAAACGAATAAGTCTCGCTGCACTCCTTACGGGTTCTTAGTTGTAGCCTGTCGGGTACAGGTGAGTGCTCGTAATGACCACGGCAGAGTGTGCTGGTGACATTCTGCCAAATTCCCTGTTCGGGTCACAATTGTGGGGTAAAAATGGTCGTCTCTTATAAATTCATTGTCTGGTAATTATTCAGAGTTATTTAAAGTGAACCTTCATCTCCTCTCCCCACCCCTTA